AACTATTGGATGAAACGATTGAGAAGCTCAGGACCGGGGGAATTTTTTCCTGAGGGTGGAGGGCTTATCCTTAACCATACTAAATGAGTTCTCATATAGTTAAGAATTTCTTAAACTTATCCCCCCCCCCCCCGTCATATTTACTGTGAATATGCGTTTTCTGTTTTGGAAACAAAAGCATTGTTGCCGATATGCAAAATATATTTTGTACATGATTTCAGCAAAATTATTATTTATTTTTTATTATTTTAGGGTTAAGTTAGGTTAGGATTGATTTGAATTTGATTTAGGTTAGGTTAAGACAATTTCCTGGCCGAGCACTGCGTCTAGGACAGGTTAATTTTAGGATGAAAATAAGCGAAAAAAATAAAACAAAAAATTTTAAATTTATTTTTGTTAAAAAAATTCAGTAAATCTTAAAGAAATGACCTTGATCTGGATACGGATCCGGATCCTTTTATTCCAGTGCAGATCCAGGATCCAGATCCGCATCAAAATTAAATGGATCATAATAATATCAAATCCAATTTTGAAAGATTAAAGTATTAATATTTGGAATGAAGGATTTCATAAGTTTATCTTTTTTAATTGGATTAACTTAAGTTAAAGTTAAAAGACTTAAAAGATTTATTTATTCTACATGGTAATAAAGATTTGCTGTTATGTCAATTTTAGGGGTAACGAATGAAGGAGGGGGAGTAGGGATAAGAGTAAAGAAGATAAGGAAGGGGGAGTAAGGAGAAGGGTAAAGAAAGGAAGAAGCTGGGGAGTAAGAAGAAGGGTAAAGATAGAGGGGCAAAGAAGATAAGGAAGGAAAGTAAGGATAAGGGTGAAGAAGAGAGGGAAAGAAGGGAAGGAGGGGAGTAAGGATAAGGGTGAAGAAGAGAGGGAAAGAAGGGAAGGAGGGGAGTAAGGATAAGGATAAAGAAGAGAGGGGTAAAGAAGGGAAGGAGGGGAGTAAGGATAATGGTAAAGAAGAGAGGGAAAGAAGGGAAGGAGGGGAGTAAGGATAAAGATAAAGAAGGGAGGGGTAAAGAAGGGAAGGAGGGGAGTAAGGATAATGGTGTAGAGCTATAGCTCTAGTTTCTATCTGATCGAATTTTCTAGTTTTCTCTTTTTAGAGACAAGAGATGTATCTGAGACAAAGAGACAATCTAAGAAGAGAGTTGGATTAGTGAAAATCCATCAGACGAACAGGATCCAAAGATATAAGTTTCCCCCTCCAATATAAACTTATGTTTCTCTCCTCTAAATCCCTCGTTTTGATTATAATCTGCGAATTTCAATTTGCCTAAGTTAGAAAATAATCAATAACTACACTGGATGAACAATCAGAGGAGTAAAACAATTAATGTGAAAACTTGAAACTTATAAGTCTTCTATAAAACCACGAAAGAGTACATGTATGAATCATATGAATGAAGTGAGTACACAGTTCAGAGGGGAATATTCTGATAAGTTAATTCATGCNGTAGCCGGATTCGTTATTAGCACAGTTTCACTGATTGGAGCTACAGGTTTAATCTCAGGGCTATTTGTATTGATCTCTCCCTTCGTCGCCGTTAAATTCGTTAGTAAGCAGATAATTAGAGTCCTTCTCAAGATCACTTCATCCAATAATCGAAGAACCTAAATAGCGTAGATCTAATTTAATTTGTAGTAGAACTGTTAAGAAAAGAGTAGTTCACTACAATGGTAAAGAAGAGAGGGGTAAAGAAGGGAAGGAGGGGAGTAAGGATAAGGGTACAGAAGAGAGGGGTAAAGAAAGGAAGGAGGGGGAGTAAGGATAAGGGTACAGAAGAGAGGGGTAAAGAAGGGAAGGAGGGGGAGTAAGGATCCTAAGCACTGGTTACCATAGCATATTTGTGTTAGTAGGATTTCAGGCAGTGTTAAGGATCCATTTAATTTTCATGACGATCCGGATCCGGATCCTAGATCTGCACTGGAAAAAAATGGACCCGGATGCCGGTCATTTCTTTAAGACTTACTGAACTTTTTACCAAAGCAGAATTTCTAAGTTTTTGTCTTATTTTTTTCGCTCATTTTTATGCTTAAACTTAAACCCATTCAGAAATCAGGAAATTTTTATAATCTCTCTTTTTTCAATAGTTCAGATTTGGGTTTTAGGAGTAAAAAAGTTTTTTTGCAGTTTTTGGTTGATATTTTACCCCTTGGATCCAGATCCGCATGGATACACATATTTTTACGGATCTGAAACCGGATCCAGGAAGCCAAACTCTTGCGGATCCAACGGATCTGCATCCAAATTCTAAGCACTGATGATAACATTCGTAATAAAAGCCCCAGAATTTATTTATAAGTTATAAGGACACTTAAAAATGGAACATAGGTTCTACCACAAACTCTGATTTTCTAGCCCCTATATTTTTGCAATCCCATGTCGTAGCCCAGTAAACACAACTCAGATTTAAAACGTTTGATTTTAGTTTTAAATAGTTTTTTAAAAAACGTTTTTTATAATACCATTATAAAGTGTCTTAAACCAGTTTTTTTTTAACTAGTGTTTTTTTACACCATTAAAACAAGATTTTTAACCGGTACATTTAAATGGTTTTGTTTAAATCGGTTAAAAACTGCTTTAGATTATACGGGTTTTAAACACTAAGAAATAGACGGATAAAAAACGTGTAGAAATACTCTTTTCAATGACGTTTTAAGACAAGCCATTAAAACTCTTCTAGAAAACTACTTATGTTAACAGTTTTAAATAAAACGAATTTTAAACCATTTTTATAGATGTTTTCAGATATTCCTTAAAATCTGTTTAAAATATGTATTTTATAGTTCTTTTTATCCATTTGCGTTTGTAAGCTAGATTCTCAAGTTTAGATTTAGGAAATTAATTTTATTTAGAAATAATTGAAAGTATTGTCTATCCTATAGCGCATTTGTTTAACCTTTCTTTTAAAACAGGATATATCCATATAGGATTATACTGTATAATCCTATATCTTNCCCCCCGAGATAGAATTCGTGAAGGTCTCTCTCCAATTAATTGTGCCCGCCCTTAGAGGAGAACTATTGGAGTGTTAGGGATCAGGTTTATCCTATGCAAAATAGTTTATACATTTGTTAGAATAACTATATTTTAAATAATTTTATAACTGCATTATACAAAACAAATATTATAGCATATTAATATATATTTAACATATTAATGAAGGGGCTGGGAGGGGCTTTAGTATTGGAGGTTTCACCGACTCCAGCGTCGATTTTAAGCGGATACATTTACAGCTCTGGAGAGTGAGGGTGGGGATGTGGAGGGGTGGGATGGGTGGAGAGAAAAATTATAAAGAGACCCCCAATAACGAAGGGGCATAGATCAACATCAAAGGGGAGGGGTATAAAATTGTAGAGGCAGGAATATCATTTTAAAAAAAGAATTTAGAAAGTAAAAAAATAAGTTCAGTATTTTCAATTTTTATATATTTAAAAGTCTACATAAATAAAGAAATATCCTTGGTTATCTGATTTAGAAAATCACTTCTTTCTTAATACATCTTTGCGCAAACATTTTCTTAAAGCACCCCCCTTCAAAATATCTATACAACCCTGAATATGATATTAGCAAGACCTAGCCTATCAGAATTCTTATTTAATATAAACTATGCCCAAGAAAGATTAAACCTATCAGAAAAAGAATTTAAAATGAAACTGCTCACTAGCCTGACCGGCCCAGCACACGAAGACATTAGAAACCTTGTAGAACAAGGAGACACAATAACTTCTATTTATCATAATTTAGCCTCACTGTATGACTCAACGCCCGAACCAAATAAAGCCAAGCAAGACTTAGTCAAGTTTAAAATACCAAGACGATGGGACCTATATAAAGCACAAAATCACATACTGTCACTGTCGAACTCAGCAGCCCGCCTATATAAAGATGCAAATATAATAAAAAATTTAAAAACGTTAACACTCCTCATAACAGACGAAAAAGCGTACACTTAAAATTAAATCCCTTAATTTTTGTTTTATTTTAGATTCTGCTACAAGATGCAACTACAGCTACAAACCAAAAAGTTTTTTTTTTGAATGTATTAACATTCTATTGTAAATATATTTTTTTTTCACTAATATGTAGTTATATTGTATGCTCGGTATCAAAAAAAATCAAAATTTGTAACATACAATCTCCAAGTTTCGTCTTGTTAATCCAAAATCAACGTGAAATTAAAATCCTAATTAGCTAAATACACAGTCGCATAACTATAATCGGGAATAAATTAGAATTTAGAATCTGCTTACATTTACTTAAATATCATCAGCCTTTTTGTCACAAGCATAGAAAATATTTGAACAAACAGTCTTGACCAAAACAAATAGCGTAAAAACAATTAGTATACCTTTATTCTCACTCAAAATTAAAACCTTTCATTTAACACCATTAAAACCTTACACCTTAATTCATATATTTAAACTAACACCTTATACCCCGGATCCAACTAACTTCACAGTTTCTCTTAAAAATCAAGGATCAATCATAATTGCAAAGATTCCCAGCTAAAAATATCATTTTTATCAAAATAAAATCCAGATCCGAACTTTTTTTACCAATTTTGATAACTTAAACCAACTCAAATTACATGAATTCAGACCTTTTATGAGAATTTAGGAATATACCGAACCAAAATCATTTCGAAACTTTCATGTTTTACATCTTAGGCCACAAGGGTTTTCGCATAAGCAAAAAGTATAATTGGCACACTTCAAAATGTGAACTAAAAGTCTAAATTAAACTAAATCCTAAACTCGACTTCAATACTAACAAACAACATAAACCTAAATTCTCATAACGTATTCTATATTAAAAATAAAAGGTATATTTCAATCCGTACACAAAAGCGTGCCATATCAATTGTGAACCCAAAAATTACCTTCATTTAATCCAGATTCAAATTAAGTTCAAATTATAACCCTACAATTGGCCAATATCCTTCTCCGGATTTTATTTATACATTGGAAAATCTCATTCCTCTGAAAATAACATAAACATTTCAAAGATAACTTTCAAATTCCTCATATTTTATTCTTTGCATCTTATACGAAAAAATTTACAAAACAGCCCAATTAACTGTTATAAAACAGCCTAATTAACTGTAACCTGCTAAATAAAAACAGATAAAAATAACTGTTCTTAACAGAATCTGCTTTTTCGTCTCACAAAAAAATAATAAATCAGTAATTAAGATAATTACAGACAGATTAATCGTCTCGTGATATAATCATATCACTACGTGGTTATCTCATTTACACTTATATTTCGCACTTTATATAATTTCAAAAACAAATATACCCAAGAAAATATACATCCCGTCAAAAGAACAAACAACTCCGAAATAACACGGTTCAAACCTTGTCCTCAGCCATTCTCAAAAATAAATATTATTTTAGACTTCCTACACCAAATGACACCCAAAATACCTTCAAATAAAAAAACTATTGTATAAATGAGATAACATTCCTTGCTATATTTTTTAACAGTCTGAACACTTCTTTTCGGCCGACCAGGAGCAGGTGGAGTATGAAGATTAGCACCACCCCGTGCAAGAGGAGTAAATACTACAGTTCCGTCCAAGACAGGCGGAACAGACTGAACAGTACCGCTCTGAGCAGGCGGAGTATGCTGGACAGCTCCACCCTTCGCAAACGGGGTGAGCTGTCCCATAAAAGCTATCTCAGGACATCCATCCTTCACAGTTCCAATCTGCCGCACAAAAGCCTAATAAAATAGATCTTACAAAACTAAAACCACCCAGCAAAATATCAATTAGAACTTTTGACATATTTTAAATAGGAAAAACAAGACTCGCATGCCTTTGGCAATCAACATTTTTAAAAAAACTTAATCTTACCTCAAACGCTGGGCTAGATCCACCAGGTACGGAACTAGTAGGAGGAGGATAAGGAGTCTTCCTATAAGTCTGTTTAGGGGTACCATCGGTATATTCACCCAACACAGCAATCTGCTTAACATGAGCTTCCTGACCTCTGGAAACATGCTCCGCACTAGTTCCATTTTCTGTAGCATCCGCTATATTTTCATAAACTGCCTCAACATTTATTTCTCCTTTTTCCAGCTCAGGATTATTGTCAACTCTACCCTCCCTCGTAGTTACATTCAAATTTCCACACGGCATTCCAGGATTGTTTTCACCTTTTTCCAGCTCAGGATTATTGTCAACTCTCCCCTCCCTCGTAGTTACATTCAAATCTCCACACGGCATTCCAGGATTGATTCCTCCTTTTCCCAGCTCAGGATTATTGTCAACTCTCCCCTCCCTCGTGGTTACATTCAAATCTCCGGATTGCACCCTAAGATCGATTCCTCCCTTGTCCAGATTAGAACTAACAGTAGCTCGCTCCTCCATCCCGTTGACATTCATCATTCCGGTCGCTCCGTCCTGCTTAACTTCACCAGCACACAGATCAACTGGATGCACTACAAGACCCTGAGAACCGGCGTTAACAATTCCAGCTCCGGGTTGAACGGAAGACTCATGTGCCTGACCACCCTGATCGACTCCAGCAAATACGCTCACATCAGGATATAGACCAGGGCGAACTCCAGCAGGTGGAACGGCATGACTCCAGGGTGGAAATAAAGGTGGCACAAACCCAGCAGGAGGATAAGCCGGAAACATGATAGGCTGCCCAACCGGTTGCATAACAACGGGTGTCGGATTCACTTCACCCGGATAAGGCGGAACAGTATTCTCCCTCTCAGGATCCAACACTGGCGAACTAGAAGGCAACTTCCTCACTTTCAATTTCTTCTTAGCACCACCCTGTGCCAAGACAGGCTCCACAACAACCTAATAGCAAAACAACTATATGTCAGGTAAATAAACAAATCCTTAAATACTCTAACCTTAAATACTCCAATTCCACTAACTTTCCAGTTTAATTTAAATTACTAAACTTCTTTCAAAGAAAAATATAAAATTACAAAACAACAAAACAAAGTAAACTTAAACTAGTACGCATAAATAAATCCCGCCTTCTAACAAGGTCAAATCCTCACCTCACGAGAACGTCCATGGAACCCTTTACAACTAAGACAACAGAGCACTGCTTTCAAAACACCCTGAACATAAAACAATTGAAATAAAGAAAATGAAATTATTACACCTAGGTAACACACTTTAAGGTTCGTTTCGTTTTACATACCAAAAAAAAATTTAAACACCTTTTCCAAAAATTTCAAATCGAAATCCTAACAAGTTATATACAAACTTGAAACCCATCTATATTAAGTACGTATATAAACATAAAAAAAAACTACGGACATTATTAATGCTCCAACAATTAACACATTTTTATATCAAACACTATATTCTTCTTTCAATCACATAGCACTCGTACTTATGCAAAATAATTTATAATTTAACACACGTTACCCTAACCTCAACACTAAAAATAAATCAGTCAATCCTTAATAATACAAAGAACATTAGAATATATAAACTTTATTAAAATAAAGATATATACACAAAAATCAATCCCGACAATAATGATCCACCATGTAGCGAGTGATCTGGCTCTGTAGTCCTTCAAAATCTTGCTTCAGCCGAATCAACCTCATCAAACCCGTCAAAATACGACGCTCAATGTTGAGAGCATCGATATCGCCATATCCCACGTTCGAGTTCATCGACTGCACATGCTGCAAATTATGACGATACATCGACCTCAGGAACTCAATAGTGTTCAGCTCATCAGCCAACATCGGAAGGATTCCAGGACTAGTATCCTGATCAGGAACCTTAAAGAAATCATTTACCCAATCCCTCAATCCCAAAAACCGCTGCCTCAGCTTATGGATGTCACCTTCTCGAACGAGCCTGGGGAAAGATGAAACAGAAACGATTCTTATATTACGGCCCTGCCTTAACCGAGCAGCACGGCCAAAATCCACACCTGGTCCCGCTCCGCCAATTGCGTCAGGTCGAATCGGGCTCTCTCTAAATGTCACTCTTATAAAACAGAATCATAGAATTCCCCCACACCCACCGCCAATACCAAACATGTCCGACCCAAAGCAAAGTATCAAATTACAAGCATTCCAATTACAAGCACATCATAAAATATTCTAAAATACAGGTCAAAACAAAAACACTCAACCAAATAAATAACTATGCTTGCTATTTTTTAGGAAACGTTTTTCTACGGTAATCACAACGTAAATATCAAAAATAGACCTAAATTAGCATGAATAAAACAACACAACTTATCAATAACAAAATCCTATGATATGAAACATCCAACAAGACAAAAATAACACCAAAACTACAACAGATACGTCACAAACTTAGGTAACAAACACTTCTTTTTCAAAACCAGTGAGTGTACTTGTAGACTAAATTTTGTTATCAAGAAAAGTTTAATACGACACGTTACTAACCTGGCCATCGCTTCCCAGACCAAGAACAACAAGATACAGGAGATAAAACCAGCCAGAATACCAAGCAAAAACATGAACAGCCCCGGACAACCATCCATCACAATACGAGGATCAAACCCACCATCCTTTCCGTCACGAGGACAGGAACTCTCCAGGGGAATAACGGCCGTCTAAATAAAACATTTTATTACAAACATGAAATGAGGAAAACTAATAACGACAAAATATTTATCAACACTACTATAGAATAACTGATAATCAACAATGAATATTGACAAAATCGTGGCAGTCATAATTCACTCAAAAGAAGTTAGTTCAAACAAACTTAATCACAACCAAATAGTTTCCAAACTTTAATACACTTAAAATGATGGGAACGGCACTTAGATTGAACCAAGAATAACAGTGGCATTTCAAATTTAATCTAGTATTTCCCCCTCCCCCATTTTACGCTAAATAAAAACAAAAAACAACACAAGAAAAAATAGTTTTCAACAAAACCGCACAAAATTCACTAAGTCATACTGTATATTAAGAAAGAACCTGAAATCAAGTAAACTAATTACAGGCCTTAACTACTACAGTGCCATCAAAAGAATTTTAAAAAAAAATATATAAAATGTTGCACCTTAAACAGCAAATGGGTTCCGTTCTACCCAAGGAACTCCTCCTTGAAAATACCATAAAAATCCGGTAACGGGAACAGAGATAACAAGCTCGGCATTTTTTTCCTTCTGCAAATAAATAATAATTCACTACTTTCACAAAACCGCCTTAATCTATGATTAAATATTAAATGCACATTAAAACAAAAACTCAAAAGATATACAAAATAAAACTGAAATTGCATCCACGAGGAATCGAACGCGTGTAGAAATTTCGAGATTAAATGGCGGCCGAGCGCTCACAACAACCGCCCCACATGCACCAGTGGAGAAATCTTCTTCAAAATATAACCTCAGAAAATCCATCGGCACCAGCTGGACGATCAACTAAATAATAATACAGTAATACATAACTAACACCATTAAAATAAAACCTAAACAACATTTTACAAAAACAGCAAATTTTGAACACTAAACAAGGATAAAAATAACAATAATCTCACGTCGAAAAAGAATCATTCCCTCCACTGCTCCGCGGCTTTCACAAACTCCCCCCAATAAGAAAGCGCTCACAAATAAACTATACGATT